AAATATTATTCTATTTTTTAATAGTAATATTTATATGTAAGTACCCGCCTTGCTAATGTGCCCGCCTTGGTGATAAGCACCACCATAGGTGGTGAGAGCTTCTGTAGCTGAATTACCTAATGGTGGGGCGTGGCACGAGTAATGGGAGGGATCCAGCCGGACGCCGGCGCTTCTATAACTCCGGCCGAGCCTACCATTGAACAAACTCACGTGGTAGTGTTGGCTTTGATGGCGCAGGCTGGCGCGGGCTGGCGACACAGGCTACGGCGGGCCGTACTTGCGTAGCGGCGCTTCAGAGAAGCATCAGAGCACGTACTAGCACTACTCTTCGTAACGACAGTCACATCCACTCGTGCGCATCCTGATCGACGGCTGCTGTTTTCCTTTGCCTCGCAACTAGATAATTAGAGTCAAGAGACGTCAGGCAAGATGGAGGGTTTGTTCTTCAATGTCAACAATGGGTAGGTTCGCTTCATCTGGCAGGTAGTCTGTACGCACCACTGACCGTGACAGCTACGTCGAAGGCATCGTCCGAGGCTACCGCAATGGCCTTCTCACCGGCGCAGCCTACAATAATCTGACGCAGTGCGAAACTATCGATGGTATGATCGTGATTCTTGTTGCATCTCTATACTTGTGCATGCTTGGTGCGCTAACTCCAGAACAGACCTCAAGCTTCAACTTGGTCCTGCCTATGGTGACTTTCTTGCGTCCCTGCCGCCCAACCCGTCAACATCTAGCCTTGCCGCAAAGACAACCGACAAACTTGTCTCTGAATTTCGCTATCTCCGAGCCAATGCTGTTGGCTCACTTGCAAAGTTCATGGACTACCTCACCTACGGCTACATGGTTGACAATGTTGCCCTTCTCATTACTGGTACTCTTCACGAGCGAGACACCCGCGAGTTGTTGGACAGATGTCACCCCTTGGGATGGTTCGAGACCATGCCCGTTCTTTGTGTTGCCACGAATATCGAGGAACTGTATAATAGTGTCTTGATCGAGACTCCTCTTGCGGCCTACTTCAAGGGTAGCTTGAGCCACCAAGACCTTGACGAGCTCAACATTGAGATTGTACGAAACACTCTATATAAGAACTACCTTGAGGATTTCTACCACTTTGTCAACTCACATCCTGACATGGCTGGCACGCCAACAGCAGAGGTCATGTCGGAGATCCTGGAGTTCGAGGCCGACCGAAGAGCCATCAACATTACCCTCAACTCATTTGGCACTGAGCTGTCCAAGGCAGACCGCAAGAAACTTTACCCCAATTTTGGGAGGCTGTACCCAGAGGGCACTCTGATGCTCTCTCGTGCAGATGACCCCGAGGGTGTTCGCCTGGCTGTCGACGGTGTTCATGACTACAAGACGTTCCTTGAGGCTGCCTCCCTCGGCGGCTCATCTGGACCTGGTAATATGGGTGGCGGTTCTTCTGATGGCAAGACATTAGAAGACATGTTTTATCAGAAAGAGATGGAAATCTCAAAGAGTGCTTTCACCAGGCAGTTCACTTATGCCATTGTCTATGCGTGGGTCCGACTTCGAGAACAGGTCAGTCGCAATAATGCGAATTTCCGTTTTAAATTGAGGAAGATGTGCTAACGATAGATAGGAAATCCGAAATATTACATGGATCGCCGAGTGCATAGCCCAAAACCAGAAGGATCGCATCGGCAACTTTATTAGCGTGTTTTGATAAACCCTTAGAGTCTTTTGTTTGATGTTTACTAGCATGGTTTGTAGTATATTGACCGCACTAGCTCATAATTGCAAGTCAGGACCGGTCTTTTTTAAACATTTGGCGCAACATTGGGGGAGGCTGACGAAGTCAAATGTGGACAAGCAAATTATCCACTCATGTGGCTCTTTTTTTAATATTGTACAAATAGGAGTATAGTATTCTACAGCCTTTCTTACAAGCTAATCTGGCCCTTCCAGGTAGCGGGCGTGAGGCCCAACTTTTCAATCATGTGTGTCCATCTCTCGCTTCCCCGTTCCTTTCTCTCCATATATGCCAGCAGTTTCTGTCTGCGGTGAACCAACAGCCTCAAATTTCGCTTATTATGAACATCCTTGTACCCTCGGTTTATCTCAAGAGCCTTGGAGAGAGTTCGAATCTTTGCTGTGAGAATGGCAATCTGCACCTCGGAGCTGCCAGTGTCGGGGCCTGCACGATCTGGCATGGGTGTGGTATTTGGCGAAATAGATTGCGGCTTAGGCTTCAAGAACTTGTCTGTCCTGTGGCGACCAAACTCGTTGACCAGGCGGCGAACATTTGCGTGGAAGCGGTCTTTGGCGCTACCATTCCGCAAGGACGTGATCCGCCTCAAAGCCTCCACTGCCTTGGCATGGTCCTGCTTGTGTTTCTCGATATTGGCCTCATTTGAGGCTGCGTCGCTTAGTTGATCGCCAACAATCGCCGCCATAGGCTTGCTGAGCGTGAAGGCGTGTTTCGTCGCTTCTTCCAACTCGGCATCGGTAAGGAAGTGGTTTCTCAGACCCGGAGTCGTCGGCAGCTCATGGGGCGTCTGGAGAGGATTACCGCTGGCATCTCGGGGCACTTCGCTGAGGCCGACTTGGCCAGCGGTATCAAGGGACTCAAGAAATGGAGTTGTCTTGCCCAACACGGGATTACCCCATGCTTCGTCCCGTTGCTTCTGGAGTTCCTCGCGTCGCTTGAGGTTTGCATTTTTCCGTTGCTGCGCCTGTGCCCACTTGTATGGATCCTGCTTCGCCTTGCGTTTCTTCTCTCTCTGTGACAGATTGGCTGTTTGAATGACGGGCAGGAAATTGGGGGTTGTTGCTCGAGTAGTTGGCCGAAGACACGCTGTTGTCATGCAATCGTTAGCGATCACCAACGGCATTCAATTTGATGAAGATTGACAGCGATAACAAATGTCCTTACCGTTGAAAGTGCCTAGGCGCTGCAGCACCTCAAATCTGGGCGGCATGGTTATTTGGGACTTCTCGCAAGGACGATTGGAAAAAGTCCAGCAAGGCGAATCACCTCCAGCTGCTTCGACGTTAGGTCAGATCCTCAAAATTTCCCTGTCCCTGAGCACTACGGCGTACAGGAGGACCCAGAGTCCGACCCGACAAACTTCCCAACACAGGCTAGCGTATAATGCACGTGATTAGTTGTCCACACCGTGAGGGCTAGTCCAATTTGGCTCTAGCGCCTTCAGGGCTGCCACCCACACACACTTTCGCAAATTCGTGAGGATTCTCGCGAACTTTTTTGATTTGCGACCTCTTACGATCCGTCACGAAACCTCCGACCTTTTCTTCCACCCGCTTCCCACGTCCAACGTCCAAAGGAAGAAAATCAGACAAGATGGCCCCCAACAACCTGCCGTCGGTGCTCAACGCCACCACCCAGGACATTGAGATGCTCCTGGCTGCTCAATGCCATGTTGGCAGCAAGAACCTCCAGGTGCACATGGAGCCGTACCTCTGGAAGACTCGTGCTGATGGTGTCAACATTATCAACATTGGCAAGACCTGGTATGTTCACTTGGACAATTTGGGCGGATACTGAATGCTCAAGTAATTTTTGCAGCGCAAATTTGCGCATTTCGTTTTAAAAAGCTACTCTCATCAATCGAACATGGCAATACTAACATACGTTTTCCAGGGAGAAGATCGTCCTCGCTGCGCGTATCATCGTGGCCGTCGAGAACCCCGCCGACATTTGCGTCATCTCTGCGCGCCCCTATGGTCAGCGTGCTGTCCTCAAGTTCGCCGCTCACACCGGTGCTTCTTCCATCGCCGGTCGCTTCACCCCCGGTTCCTTCACCAACTACATCACCCGTTCCTTCAAGGAGCCCCGCCTGATTATCGTCACCGACCCCCGCACCGACGCCCAGGCTATCAAGGAGGCTTCCTACGTCAACATTCCCGTGATTGCCCTCTGCGACACCGACTCCCTCACTGAGTACGTCGACGTTGCCATCCCCACCAACAACAAGGGTCGCCACGCCATCGGTACCATCTGGTGGTTGCTTGCTCGTGAGGTCCTGCGCCTCCGTGGAACCATCTACAATCGCGAGACCCCTTGGGATGTCATGCCCGATCTGTACTTCTGTATGTTCTTCTCCTCGCTGCGCTCGAGCTACTTCGTATACCGTTGTATATCGTCCCGTCTTACTAACTCTCAATCCCAGACCGCGATCCTGATACCGAGGCCGAGGAGAAGGCCGAGGAGGAGAAGCCCGCCGAGGAAGAGGCCCCTGCCGCTGTTGAGACCGCTGCCCCCGCCGCTGGTGGTGAGTGGGAAGCCTCCGCTCCCGCCTTCACTGGAACCTGGGATGGCGCTGAGGGCGGCGACTGGGCTGCCTCTGGCACCGGCGAATGGGCCGAGCCCCCCAAGGAGCAGTCTCAGTGGTAGGCCCCTGAGGACTCTGCCGAGGGCATCGGGTCGAACGACGTCGGAACCCAATGGTAAAACAGCAATGAAGACTACATGGTTAAAAAGTAACGAGGTCATCGGAGGCGTTCCAGGCTTAAGCAAGAACTTAATAAATTTCTTGGTTGTCTTGGACTCTTTGGTCGACTTGGTTGGCACTTATGAGGGAAAGATACTCTCCCCTGTTTTTCTGTTCTTCACTCTTGCCACTTTTTTTTCGTCCTGCCTGGTTCCATTTTTGTGTGATTTCAAAACATGCTCCGAATGAGACGACAAGGATGCGGAGTGGTTATTTGTGAAGAATAATTTTATCAGGAGAGAGGGAAAGCCCTGTGCGGCCAAAAGGGATGGACTTGACCGTTATCCCGCCTTTGTTTCCTAGACACATTTTCGATTGCGTGAAGCTGGCTATTAGCTTGTCTCCTGAGGCGTACAAGACCTAAAAAAAATTACCATTAAACCACTTCGACTATTCTATTTTGCCGTGACGCTTTCCTGCCATACTTTTGATGGTTCGGGTCAAAATGTAAATCTGAATATCTGGAATGATTGGGCCAAGCGGCATTTACCAAGTTAAATGAAGGCGCTGGACGTTACGTCTTCTATAGCTCTACAGCTGGGCCTGGACTTTCTTTGGCACAAGACAAGCTAGCTCGTATCCTATTAAATGGACAATATCATTACTGACCATTCACAATACCTATCTGTCCTGCGTTCTCGACATATTCCTCGATCACTATGGCTCTTTGCATACTCAATATAAAAAACTTCATGAGCGTACAATAAAGGCCTCGACAACCACCTATTCTGGGGTGGTACTGTGCATTCACCGCCATCTACCTAGGACGCTCTCATGTGCTGTAATGGGTATATTACGCCCCTGTCCTCCTTTCCCAAAATTCCGAGTCTTATCACTCGCTGCCGTCCTCCTCCACCGTCGATCCCACTGCTATGTGTTCAATCCTTCCCTATCCATCCCGGAAAGTGACAAAGAGGTATATAGCAAAAGAAAACGCCTCGCTTCAGTATGGTCACAAAAGAACACTTCGAGCGTTGTATGGTTAAAAGACAAGAGAGAGAATAAAAGTGTCGCTGTCTGTGTAAAGTAGAAAAAATGTATAAAATCGAACGCGAGAACGCCTTAGCCACTATGTGTGTATGGCCAATGGAAAACTCCGTTTGGCCGTGGGATATCAATAGAAATGAATTGTTTCCTGTTCCGGGTATGGGATGTAAAATAATCATGCGCTAGATGGGCGGCCGTGTGCTTAAGGGTACATTTCGAAGAAAGAAGAAACGAGGGTATTGGGGAAAGAAAATAGCATTAAGGAATATCAAGCCCATGCATCAGGTGCCGTGTTATGCAAGAATCGGAAGTATCTTCATTACGCATTGCAATACGGTGAGGAGTATTACAATGCTAGCTTGATGGTAGTTGGGAAGTTGTTCGTTTCTGTCACAAACAGAATATATAGCAAGCCAAGGAAGAAAAATCAATCTACCGAAGGCTTTGAGAATGTTTTCGGATATCGTCATCACTAAGCGCTCCAATCCAAAGGCATCGTTCTGTTACGCCCTCAATCGGCTGGAATGTGTATCGAGTGCTGGCTTCCAAGAGACGGAGGAGTGTCTTTACAACAGAGGCTGCAATGCGGCACCGCTCAAAGTTGACGAGAGGCGCGGTTGATGGCGAACTTGCAATCTCGGACGGTTTCTGCGCATTGTAAAGCAAGTCGTGCGTATAAATGCCAACAAACGGAATGCAGCCAGAATGTGAACCCATTTCCATCTCTTGCCGAATGTTATGAAAATTTCTGCTAGGAGTAACTAGAAGCTCAAGATCACTGAGCGTCTTCAAGTCATTTTCTGGCACAAGGTCCCACGTCTTGGACATGCGAGATATTTCGTTGCTAGACAGGGCAATCGTAAGCTGAGCAAGAGTTGCAAAATTGCGGTATCGTCGGCAATGGGCCGCAATATGAATTAGCTTGATGATGCATCTAGCTCTCTCTTCGACATGCTGGGTGAGAACAATCTCTGAGATGGCCCATTTGACCATTATATTGAATCGTGCAATCACAACCTCGACGCCTTGTGCATCTGTATTTCTCAGGAAGTCAACCCATGACCGAGAATGGCTGCTAGCAGAATTCTTCCAGTCCATGTCAATCAGCTCTTTCCAATCAATTTCATTCAGAGCATCCTTCTCAATTAGAGTAAACTGTTGGGCCAAGGTGTCGGAGTCGAAGGCCAGAATGAATGGCAAGTGGACAGAAAATTTGGGGCTTCCC